ATTAATGAGCCAGGGTTTTGATTTTGTTAAAGAACATCTCGTCCTTTTTCTCCAAAGGTTCATCGGAAAGTACAAAGAGCTAATAGATAAATTTTCAGTGTCTACTTCTCAAATAATACAAGATGGTCGTGCGTTATAGATTTTAGGTGCTTAAGTTGTGTATCTTTTTATTTTACTTTAGTTTTCCCGTTATTTGTCTTCGTGCTATTATGTTGTTTTTTGTTGTATTTTTTTTTTTGGTCGTAAGTCTTTGACGTGACTCGGTTTTTATACATCCAGTCATTGGTTTTTTACTTTTTAACTTTGGGCATTCAAATTATCATTCATGGTACAGATGGGTCCTGAGGCTGAGGTGCGATTCGGTCACAAAGGGTTTTTACAGTGTTTTTTTTTTTTATTTTGTTTAACCTTGTATTTATATTTACTGAACATTTACTATATTGAGAAAGTGTATATACTATATGCGATATGTACTTTCAACGACAAAAACTTTTTTTGTTGACGTCATTGTCAAATTTAAAATTTACTATGTACTACACCCTTCTTGTAGACGTCTTAGTTATATTATTTTGTAAGTTTGTAAGAAATTTTCAGTCAGTTTGTTGTATGTCTGTCAGTTTTGGCTGCTGGATCCAAATTATTGTCATATAAACCTATTATATCGGTTTGGGTTGCTCACCCAATACGGAACTATAAACAACTGTCATACAAATGGGAGTTTGAGCTAGCTATAAAACCAGGTTTATTAACCCACCATTTTCTTCGGAAAATGCCTGTTCTAGGAATCAGGAGTCAGGAATATGGCAGTTGTTTAATTTCACTTGTTCCGTTGATTGATAGCGTTTGATTTTGTCAGTTTTTATGGACTTCCCCTTTTTGAATTTGCCTTGAGTTCGGTATTTTTGTTATACTTTTTCACATAAACAATCAAAATTAACATTTAAAAAACAGGCTTTTGCATATAATTCGTGCCGAATATCATAGTAAAACCAACAATTAAAAAGAAAGTGCTTCTCATCTTCAATTTGGCCACTATCACAAAAATACACAAATGATCTTCCGAGCCCGGAATTAAGATACTATCCGAGTAAAGTTATCAATTCTTTGATATACTTAAAGGTTACCAATTCAACACTGTTTTTATATCTTTGAATATAGTTTTTATTGGTATAAATATTGATTTTATTATCAGTAAATTAAAACCATACTAAATATTATTGTTATACACCTATGCACTTTCACGGTACTACAATCTGTCGAAACCTATATTAGCATTGCACAAGGTCATGTTTTTCTCTGACTGTTATTGACGTCTATACACTAAATCCATTGGATGTTGGATATGTTCTGATTGTTATTTTAGTCTTAGATGCATATTTTTTTATAAGTTGTTATTGGTTTTGAACTAGCTGTCAGTAAATAAGAGTACTCTCAGATCTATACTTTGTGTTTTTTTTTTTTGTTGTTGTTAGGAATGTATGAATACCCTGCCACGTCTGGTCTGTTTTTTCGTTAGATTTTTTTCTGCTTTGTATCGATCTGATGAGTGAAGCCCTATTTTTCAACTGATTGTCATAGTTTGTTTTTGTGTTGTGCTGTAAAACCACTGTCCAAGGTTAGGGAAGGGTTTAGCGCTTACAAGCATGTTCAATCCCGCTACATTCTGTATGTGCCTGTCCCAAGTCAGGAGCCTGTAGTTCAGTAGTTGTCGATGGTTCATGTCTGTCATATTTGATTTCGTAAATTGGTTTTTTTTTTATAAATTAGGCTGACTTTTTTTTCTCAATTGAATTGTTTCATATTTTTCATGTCGGGGCCTTTTAGAGCCGACTATACGGTATGGGTTTTTCTCATTGCTGAAAAAAGTACGGTTGCCTATGATTGCTTACATTAATCATACCACATCTCCTTTTTTATATTATAGAGGTTCTGGTGGTCTAGCATATTGTATATGGCATAATCTAGCATTACATTAGCACCAAACTTGGGAAATATAACAATTTACTCTTAATGTGAAATTAAGGAGATACGGTATGATTGCCAATGAGACAAAAGTCCACTAGATTTCAAGTAAAAAGGATGGAACACTATTTTAAGGCTTTTCAAATACATTGTATGTTATAAGCTTCAAAGAAATTGTGTTACTTTGCATCACAGATTTTGGAACAGACTTAACTCCGAATTTGTTCTTGTCATGAGCAACAAGACGACTATCACGTGTAGGTCATGAACTGTGTATGCCACAGTTGACCTTAATGTAATGAAAAAAAATAATAAGTTTCATATTGCATTCGCTTTTAATGCGCATGTGGTGCAGAAAAATGGAACCGTTAATATTATTAATTGTTTGTGTTGCTTAATGTGATATTTTACTTCAAAATATTTTATTATCTCTTTCAATCATAGCTTAGACAATATACATCTATCGATATTTCTAATATGACGTCCTTATTGAGCTTTGTAAACAAAGCCGTGTTCTAATTAGCACAAAATATGTTTGATACATGCGAACAAACTTACTGTTTATATTCTCGTTATTTTCATTGTTATCCTAATAAAATATATACATTTTAGCAGCTAACATAAACTTTTATTATTATATATTGTTTATCAAACAACATATATTTACCCTGCTATTAGTTTTTAAACTTATTAAATATCAAAATGTAATGAACATACTCCACTGGGAGGAAACGGGAACAGCCAAACAATTTTTAAGGTATTTTCGTACGCTTCGACCTATAAAAATACTATATTTGTCCTATTAGAATCGAAACAATTCCTTCACGTCATGCTCTATGCTCATTTTAACATGGGTAGGCATTATATTTGACCATGTTTTACACCTCGCTAACCATCAGTGCAAAATATCGGTAAATATAATGCCTTCCCATGTTAAAATGAGCATAGAGCATGACATGAAGGAATTATTTCTTAAGCAATGATATAGAGCCTTATCACAGACTTTAACTAATTAGATTTTTTTAGCAAAGAGACGGGTGTCATTAATGGAGTTAAACTTAAAAACTATGGACCACATGTGTTTATCTCGATTATACGAATGTCGATGGGTCTTAATTTTTCTGCGTAATGTTTGTCTTTTCTCTTTGCCATGATAATGGTGTGTCTTTTTTCGTTTTAAGATTATTTTATCCTCTCTCTGTATTTTTGTCCTTTTTTTAAACCTTAGTTAAAGTAATTAATGCTAGATAAATGCTATTATAAATCAGTCAAAATTAAATGCCTATATTATTTTTAAGATCAGTTTTTCCAAATCAAAAAGGTCATTTTTTGCTACCAAAATTAAAACTATGAAGGAATTCTGCAGAAACTCAGCATTGACAAGTTATACTATAAACTTCCTAAATTCTACCTGTGCAAGTTTCTCATTTATATGTGATCCGATAGGTCATATTTTAGTTGTTAACCTTATTTTTGGTGGGTTCGTGTTGCTCAGTCTTTAGTTTTCTACGTTTTGTGTACTGTTGTTTGTATTTTTTTTTTCTCTATTTATGCCATGGCGTTGTCAGTTTATTTTCGAGTATTTTTATAAGTTTGGATTTCTCTTTGGTATCTTTCGTCTCTTTTAACATTACCAGTAATGTGTCCTGTGAAATGTATCAGCAAAAGGACCAAAATACAGTGAGTTTCAAACTATATATAAATAGGAAAAAGTACTTAAAATTTTTATGTTCGTGTTGCTCAGTCTTTAGTTTTCTATGTTGTGTTTTGTGTACTGTTGTTTGTCTTTTAGTCGTTTTTTGTTATTTGTTTGGTTTTTTTTGCCATGGCTTTGTAAGTTTGTTTTCGATTCATGAGTTTCAATGTTCCGTTGGTATCTCTCGCCTCTCTTTTATGGATTCTGTCAAGCATTCCAGACAATGTGTAATGTGTAAGAGAAAGGGAACATATGCTCCTCCAAAAAATGTCTCAGGCTGTGACGGACTTATTTCAAATTGAAATTAGCACGACTTTTAAGACCTATGCTACATCTATTTCAAAACATTGCCAGATACTTGTATAACCTTTATGATAATCATATTTTTTACCCGAAAGCGAATTGAAACAATATCATTTGTGTATGTGAATCATATTATAGAAATTGTTTAATCAACGAATATATATATATATACACATACTACAATTACAGAGGAGAAAGTCCAGAAACATCATAGGTTCGTTTTTTTTTCAAACAAAAATGAAGATCTTTATATTAGTTAATTGTGCTGAAAACCCTAATAAGATACATTTAATAAACGGAGAGCATTTTAAACTTAAAAAAGCATGTAGTTTCCAAACTAAAAGTGTGTACAGTGTATAAGGAACATCTACAGTCCCTCAAGAATGTTGCTACAGGACGATCTAGCAAACAATTGGAAACCAACAAAAACATACAATTATGAAATTAAAAAAGGATTATAGTAAATAAAATACATTTTTCTAGATGTAATGTATGTGTAAACTAGGCCGATGAACCTACCAACTTTACGTAAAAACCCTATGGTTATCTGTGTTGAAACTGGTCACTCACAGACTGAATAAAGTCTGAACATCTTTTATGCTAATTGGTGTGCATTGGTCCAGTGTACAAATCAATAACCTAGGGGAAATGTGTACAATCACTATAATTTTCGACTGATAAAATTGTTGTTTTTGTTTGTTTGTTTTTTTTTTTTTCTTCAAATTTCATCTTTCGTGGAACTCTAAGATTCCATTTACGTGTATTGTGCATGTATATATCACAGTTAATTTTACAGTGTTTACATATGAAACGACAATTATTCCGTAAACATGGTCTATCACCGTGTCGGAACGGATATATTATCAAAAATTCAACCAGTTGACTGTGTTCGCAATCATTCAAAAATGTCACGACACTATTGCAAAAATATGCTTTTAATGTGTTCGCTTGTCAAATAATGTATATGATATATTTATACAAAACATCAAAACGGAAATTCACACTCCTTCAATAAAGTATCAAGTTCACATGAAATGTGAAAACGTTTCTTTTATTTTATTTTAAGGTCAAGTGTGTTCAGAAATGCATTAAAATTAAAAAAACAAACTATTTCATTTCTACTTCATATCGGATTATCTGCCAGTTGTGAAGTTCATACTCCAATACTGGACTGACAGTGTGAAAGTCCACAGTACGCTAATAATACTGTTATTTCCCAAAGCTTAGACAAAGCGTCGTAAACAAGGTAAGTTAACTTTCTCAATATTAATCCCTCTTTTTAAGTTTCCTTCTCATAATTCTCTAGATCATTTTCTTTTTCAGAGACTTTAAAATGGGAAATTGAACTATATATTTTTCAGTTCTTGGCAAATTATTGATTTTTAAATAAAAGGAAATATTTCAAAACCCGTTCTGTAATAAAAATAAAAAAAGATGTTAATAGAAATCAGTATGAGATATAAGTTAAAACGTAAATGTTTTAAAACTTTTTTTTTTGTTATAAAAAAATTAATACTTGTACAAAGTGATAGATTTCTAAGTAAACTTGTTTAACAAAACGTATCAATTATTTCCTAAATTTTCAATAAGTAAGAAGATACGCGGGACAAATGGAAACCATAATTCGGAGCATGACAGGCAAACAACATCATGGACATAACAAAAAAGACAAATAACAGTCCACAACACCTACACAGAAAATTTAAGACTTAGTAACGTAATAAAATTGGAGGCAACTCAAGTCATCTAAAATGGTAAACAGTTTCTGCTCCTCTTAAACACCCGGTGTGTTTCTTAAGACAAGTAAATATCCTTTGGTAAAAGACCAATAAGCTAACAAAAAACATTATGTTTCAGGTAAAACGATGGTTTACTTATATTTTTGATTTATAATTTGAATCAAACAGACCTAGAAAATTGTCATTATACGATAGTATGACTGTGCTTGTCTGTCTATTTTCATGTTTATATTAATATCGGATTATACGGCTACGGCACTCACTGATGTACTATTGGTTTGCAAGTCGATATTTCTAACTCATTTGAATCCGTATTCACGCAGTCTTTAAAAAAAGGTTGCGCATGTTTTCACCACGTGGCAAACATGTTCATTCATTGAAAAAAGAATGTCAATATTGAAAAGTGTAATAAGGGAGCCACTAGGAATAACCAAATCGTTAACTAATCCGGCACACAAAAAAAAAACATTCTTAACAGGTAAAACGATGATTTACATATATTTTCAATTTATAACAAAATCAAATAGACCTAGAAAAAAATCGTCATCACGATAGCACGCGCTTGTTTATCTCGTTAAACGATCATCTGCAGTCTTTTGAGGTCATCTCAATGGATAATTAGATGGTGTCTAGTCTGAAACATGCATGAAATGCTGAAACATTATGACGCGTCCTTGTATTGTTTTTTTTTTTTTTTTTTTTTTTTGGACTTTTTGTTATTTTATATAAATGTTTTAATAAGTTATAAATCAAATATGAGAATAACGATCAAATCCGTTAACATTTTAAACCAGGAATGATGGACGTTTTAAATAGTGTACCTGCGACAAATGAATCACGTCTATGCTCATTTGTGATATAGATATTCAGATACAGATACATGTACAGCTATTCCCGATGAAATTACTTTCAAACCATCTGAAGCGTTTTATAAAAAAAAAACGAGCTTTGTTCTTACTTTCTTTTTATCTACATGTATATTGTATGTTTACGGTTGACTTAGGAAAATATATTTTGTTACTTTGTGTGCGTTATTGTGGTGTCTTAGTATTGAATGAAGGTACATGTAATTTCATTCAGGAAGCACACATACTGAATATTCATAGAGTATATTAGGAAGCGCTTTGGAATAAGTATTCACTGAAGGTACTCTGTTGTTTTCTTACTTTGTTTTGATTGGTAAAGATCGTCCCGGTCTAACATGTTGACATTTTTCAATTGATCTTCAGTTGACGAATTATTATATCCTCATTTTTGCAGGTGCGTTTTTGTTTCTTCTCTTCTTCTTCTGTTGAACAAAAAAACAATATTTTACAAACAGAGTAATAGCTGTCGACCATGCGGGAAAATTGCGCATTATGTTCACACATTGTATTCTGTGATGACACACGAAAATAATATACTATTCAGGGACAAATAGACTGTAATACTGTAGGCGTAGTGTATGCAATAAACTGAACGAAATGCAAAAAACTTATATATGTAGGACAGGCGATACACTGTATCAAAGGATGTTATTGAACTTTCCAAAAAAAAAAAGAGAACAAACAAAACAGACGATCCAGTAGCAAACCACTTCATACAACATAACGATTCGGTGGAAAATCTCAAAGTCACTGCAATAGAAAGAGTATTTGGCACAGAAATTTACCGAAAAACTAAACACTATGTATGAACGGAAGTAAACAAAATATGAAAAAGGAAAAAGCGCGGCAAATGAACGTCATAGAAGTTATTGCAACGTGGCCGTACTGGCTGAAACGTATGGAAACTTGTGTTATAGTTTTTATTATACAATCAATCAGAGACTTTATATATATATATATAGTTGTCACTGGTTTAGACGATTTGGTGTCACGATATCTCAGTAGCATGAGTTCGAATCCCGGCGAGGGAAGAACAAAAAAATTGCGAAAGCAAATTTACAGATCTAACATTGTTGGGCTGATGTTTAGACGAGTTGTATATACAGAATGTACACAGCCATGTATCACCATCACTGCTGGTGATCCGATGGATAAATCTGTTGTAGAGTTGTCACTGGTTCAGACGTACTTATATATATATATTATATAAGTCTTAATTGAAAACAACGTTCAAACCTATGATTGCGTTGGATAAAAACCGCAATTTTTATACGTGTGCATGCAAAACAAATTTCTTGGTAGAGGGGTCTAAATACAGCACAAACAACATTTTCCAAAAGACCAAAAAAGTGAAAAGGTATATTTTAACAAAACGCATTTGACTAGCAGGTCGAACAACGGATGTTCTTAACCCCTATATATATATATATATATCGAACAACGGATGTTCTTAAACCCTGCTGACTGCCATTGGTAATTGCCAAATAAACGGATCACCAGATGTAACAAAATGGATCTTAACTATTAATTTAATACCAAACAGAAAACAATAAACTTGCGGAAAAGATGGTATACCGCAAACAAAAGGTGCAAAAATTAGTACACCATATCCGGATTTCGACAATTAATGTCTCTTCAGTGATGTTAGGAATCGAAACGGTATTTGTAAGGCCATATAATTTACCTCAATTTAGGATAGACTCTTGAATTTTGAAGAGTCGAAATAGGATGAACGGATCATATAAACCCGAAGGCAAATATAATACAAGCCCAAACGAAAAAAATATAAACAAGTCTAAATTGAAAACAACGTTCAAATCTATGATTGCGTTGGATAAAATCCGCAATTTTTATACGTGTGCATGCAAAACAAATTTCTTGGTAGAGGGGTCTAAATACAGCACAAACAACATTTTCCAAAAGACCAAAAAAGTGAAAAAGTATATTTTAACAAAACGCATTTGACTAGCAGGTCGATCAACGGATGTTCTTAAACCCTGCTGACTGCCATTGGCGATTGCCAAATAAACGGATCATCAGATGTAACAAAATGGATCTATATATATATATATACATATAACTTTATAACAGCACAACAATATTAAATCTGCAAATTTAGTTCAGTCTAGGTGGCCGAGTGGTCTAGAGCGCTGGACACAGTGCAGGCGGTGTTGTCACAATATCCCAATTGCATGAGTTCGAATCTCGGCGAGGGAAGAACAAAAATTTACTTCCGCAAATTTGCAGATTTAACATTGTTGTGCTGATGTTTAGAGTAATTATGAATATAATATGTGTTTTCAGCCGTGTATCACCTTCTCTGGTGATCCAATCCATAGATCTGTCGTAGAGTTGTCACTTGTTTAGACGTATATATATATGTGTGTGTGTGTGAGAGATAAGAGATTCGGTAAACAAATTTCGTCTAATATCAATGTTTTATCTTTTAAATGTAATTTTTAAATTTGTTCGAATCAAAATATGATTGGTTAACAAATGTTATTAGTTTAAAAGTTTAAGATTATCTGTTATTACAAAAAGCAATCATCTGAGGTGCGTGGAAATGCAAATATAACTTAAAGGTTTCTATTTTCCTATGGGTACAAAAGGGATCACAGAATATTGGCCTACGTATAAAAATGAGGAGATGTGGTATGACTGCCAATCAAACAACTATCCCCCAGAGTTCAAATAACGTGAATATCAGCAATTATAGATCACTGTACAGCCTTCAACAATGCAAAAATCCGATACTGTATAGTCAGCTACAAAACATTTAAAACGAGAAAAGTAATGGCATTATTAAACAATACAATTTACTAAAAACAAATATGATAAGCATGAACTGACGACAACCACTAGATTACATTCTCCTGGCTTGGGATAGTATGGAACAGTAGTGTAACAGCACAACATAAGAACAAACAGTAACAATCAGTTGCAAAGTTGCAAATGGCTCGGTATAAAGCACAGCAAAACTAATAACATAAAAACAATAGATACAAAGCACCGATATAAGAGTACTTATTTTTAAAGACGTCGTAACAGTCTTTGAAACTCATGACCTTGTGCAATGCCAAAATATACGTAAACAGTATCGACAGGATGAAGGTTCATGAGTACTCACAACTCTACATATTTAGTAATATATATGTAGTCATATGTTAATGATTGTTGAGAATTGATAAATGAGTATTATTTTAAATAAACTCAAAACAATTATTGACTTGCAAGTTGAATTAATGAGCAAAGAGAAGTTTGAAAATTTAAATTCGGCAGCAAAAGACGTCCGGTCACTTTGTCAATGGAATCTTAATGGAATTTTATGAGACTTTGATTGGTATTTTTTTTTCTTTGCAGAATATGAATCTCCTACAATTATTTGTAATTGGCATCATCGAACAACTTTTCAGAGCAAATATACCAGTTAACAAACATTTCTGTTATAAGACTTTCTGTACGTGTTACGAAAATGGTTTAGCTGTTTGTTCAAGCAGATCACTAGAATATGTTCCAAGGTTTCCAAACTTTGTACGAGAAGTGTCAATGATAAATACAAGACTAAATTTAATCAGCGAAAATACATTATATAATCTTACGTTCAATAAAATTGAAAAATTAAAGTTTGATGCAAATTCAGTAGAAAGCGTTAGTAAAAATGCATTTAGATTTTTAAAGCAATTAACTACCTTTGAAATTTCCGAACAACCACAGCTGACTTCAGATAATCTTAAGGATTCGTTCACAAGCTTACAATCGTCTGTACAGTATCTATATTTTACTGCAAATAGATGGGCATTCCTTCCTGATAAAATGTTTGTTGGCCTAAAAGGAAATCATATTAAGGCTCTACATTTAACTGGGAACCAATTCAGAAATTTGGATTGCACAATATTTCAACCTTTTGATCGACTGGAACGGTTGCATCTGGCAAACAATAAGATCGAACATATCGTTCTGAAGGAATTCGGAACATTATTAAAGTTGGAATTGAAGAACAATTTTCTTGATATTATTCCTTCTTTTTGCGTATCATCAAACAACAGTTCGAGTCTATTGCCGAATGTAAGGACACTTGATATAAGCAATAATTATATTACTACATTCCAAAAACATGCTTTCGAATGTTTGCCAAAAGTAAAAGTCCTTATTTTGGATAGAGTTAATGTCAACATATTGCCAAATAACATATTTAATAATATGAAATGGTTGAGGCACTTGAGTTTAAATTCAGTTGGAAATCCTAAATTAAAAGTCATTGAGGATTATGCTTTCAATAGTTCAACGCTGGAAACGATTCATATGCAAAACTGTAGATTTAAGTTTTTTATTGGAATGTGTAATCCTGAAACAATATTTAGTCTTTGTCCAAAGCTTATGAATTTGGAACTCATCAATAATAGATTTTCACAAAATGATAAATTTCTGCAAAAATTGTTCAGGCCATTAAGTAATCTTCGATGGCTTTCCCTTTCTTCTACAAAGCTTTCAAAGTTGCCACTACAAGTGTTTTCATATATGAAAGCTTTAAATCATTTAAATCTCGCTGGTAACAGAATTACAGGTTGGCAATACCCTGTAGATATATTTGGTAATAAGTCAACAATTCATATTCTAGATTTAAGTCAGAACTTAATTTCTGTGGTTAACGAGTCAACATTTCCACATTATTTAAGAGAAAACTTGCAAAAGATAAATCTTGGTAATAATCCTTTTGTATGCACTTGTGACCAAAGATGGTTCTTACACTGGATAAAGGAATCTAACGTAACATTTCTGAACTATCCGCTTTCCTTTAAATGCGCACATCCACCAGAAAAAACAGGAACAATATTGGCAAATTTTTACCCGACTGATGACATTTGTATTCCCTGGAATCCACTATATACGATGGCAATAATTCTACTGTCGTTTTTTGCATTGTTTATTCTGTTAGGTGCAATTGCTGGGAAATGCCAGACAAACCTTAAGAATTATATATACTTAATCCGTTTAAATTACAATCGAAGACAAGGATATTTGCCAATTCTGAACTCGGACGATTTTGAATATCATGCTTTTGTTGTGTATTGTGATGCTGATAGAATGTGGGTTCATAGTGAACTGTTAAGGGAAATAGAATCGAACAACGGATTTAGGTTGTGCATTCATCATAGGAATTTCGAGGTTGGACAAACTATTACATGTAATGTTGACAATTTTCTCACTAAGGCTTGGAAAGTGATTGTTGTTATGTCCAATGATTTTGCAATGAGTGAATGGTGTCAGTGGGAGGTTGATGTTATTCAAGAAAGACGCCGTAAACATGGTAAAGATGGAGTCATTCTTGTTATGTTAGCAAACATTGACTCAAAACACATGACTAGTCCACTGCGAACATTACTGGATGGTACACCTTATTTGCGATATCAGAGAGGAGTTGGTGAGTTCCTGTTTTCGAATGCTCTCGTAGAAACTCTCAACAAACCTATAGGTCATCCTCCCGTCGCAGTGGTATGAAGTTCAAGAAATGTCATGTTGCATGGTGGTATGTAAATGAAACATGTGTCTAGATTGGTTGTTGTTTTGCTTGTCGCTATGATTGATAATCAACTGCCATGCAGTCACTTTAATATGATTTTTTAATTTAATTCTTTCATTATAACTTCATAACTATGATAGATACTGCATTGTGACGTTTGTGCTTGTAGTGCAGTGAAAAAAGATCGATACCAAGGCCATTCTGAAATCTCATAGGATAAGTGTTATAATAAATCCGAGAGGAAGAAGAACCATAAATGTTAATAACTGCATACCTATACATGTTAAGTTATGAATTCAAAAATTAAGAAATAAAATTAATGTTGGATCCGATAAAGTTTATTAAAACGACCTATAAATTTATACTGATGATATTATAATTTAAGAGCACTGTAAACAACATTACTGTAAAAATTAGGATGTGATATCCCGTTTGTAATAAGAATTCGGCAGGTACAGCCTGTGAGAAAATTAACCAGACAATTTTAGGAACAAAATATATGAGCAAAATCTAGTGACATTCGATACAAATTGACACCTTGAAGATAAGTCACTTGGACAGATTCATTTTTACATTATTTGTACATAAATGTTTAAGGCGAATACTTGTCGCTGGACAAGTCAATCGTCCCTCTTCGTTTGGCTGAATGAATTAGAAATTATTAATTTTTAGCAACTTCGTGCAAATCGATTTAATTCTATAATCACTCCCTGTCAGATATCCAAATTATACTGTCTCGTGTCGTGTAGAAATTGACATTTTAGCACATGAACTTGGTTCTATGCTGCTACATACTAACACTGGAGAAAAGAAAATCTAGATATTTAATCAACACTTAGGCCATATGAGGAACTTTTTAAATATGACAACAATAATACAATCGGTAAATATTTATCAAAATTCGTATGTATAAACATAAGATTCCATTAGAAATATGTCAACAAAAAGTGAAAATCCTATTATCTATATCATTGTGTCCAAAGGGCATAAAATTGAACTTTATTACAATATAAAATGTGTACTATGAAATTAATAACTCAATACTTTTTTTTTATTTCTAATTTCCGATATCAGTTTTAGACTTTGCCCTACAAAGATGAGTCAATGTTTTTTTGTTTTTTTAATCTCATGAACTTGAAACAACACTTCACGCGTTGAAGTAGTATCTAATTGAATTGTATTTTATGGAAATATTGCATTCACCGGAAATTATAAATATGATTTTTAAATATCAAGAGAAATAAAAGTTCATCGTTCGCGAAAATATGTGTTTATAAATAAACTTAAATCTATATATTGTTTGTTTGGTTGTTTCTTTCAGTCTGCAAATAAGAGAATATGAAAAGTAAAATAACCAAAAAAAAATAACTCTGAGGAAAATTCAAAACGGAAAGTCCCTAATCAAATGGCAAAATCCAAAGCTCAAACACATCAAACGAATGGATAACAACTGTCATTTTCCTGACTTGGTACAGGCATTTTCTTATGTAGAAAATTGTGGATTAAACCTGGTTTTATAGCTAGCTAAACCTGTCACTTGTATGACAGTCGCATAAAATTCCATTATATTGACAACGATGTGTGAACAAAACAAACAGTTATAATAGGTAAAAATGTCAAAAATAGGGGTATAGCAGTCAACATTGTGTTATAATCTTAATCACTATAAAAACAAACAAAAATGTCAACAAAGAAACACAAAAAGGCACGAAGACCGTACTTTGACATATAATGGTTTAAATTTTGACTTGGATGGAGAGTTGTCTCATTGGCACTCATACCACATCTTCTTATATCTATATAGACAAAGCACATTAGTAAAAATGAAAGACAAGAATACAAAAATTTACCATAGCACAATAACACAATGACGGGATGTATAAGTACCGAGCCACGTCAAATGGATATCACCAAAAATATACTATACTTAAAGACCATCGTGTATTATTTGTGAAGTTGATACGGAATATTTATGAACAAGGTCTTGGTACCTTCCGAAGAAAAAGGACGAGACGTTCTATGACATACCATTGGTTCATCAACTTTCTGCTCAGACACTGGTGACGTTTTACAAAGTCTGAGTAGCAGCTGAAAGCTCTTGAATACCGAATCAGTTGGGAAATGTGTATCCCATATGCAGGTGATGTTGGTATATTGCTACTAAGGTGGAGGAAATTGATAATTTCAAAATTAAAATTGTCTCGTTTGTCATAGATTCTGGTACTGAGATGACCGCGTATGTCACATTCGAGGTATAAGTCTAAAAATTGGGCCGTGTCTGTTGTTTCTTTAATTTCTAGTTCTGGAGGATATATAAATGGAACCTAATCAGAAAAGTTTGGATTGTTAATGGAAAGAACATCATCAATATATCTGAATGTAAAATTAAATGATTTGGCTTCTTTAATCTTCTTGTTTTTGACAAGTCTCTGAAGGAACTCCGACTCGTATGAAAATAAGAAGAGTTCGGCAAGGAGAGGCGCACAGTTCGTTCCCATAGGAATGCCGACAATTTGTGGAAAAAATCTACCTCCAAATTCAACAAATATGTTGTCAATAAGAAACTCAAGCATACTGATCACTTTTTCCTCTGTGTAGCATGTTTTACCTTTTTGTTCACTATTAACAAAATATGCCGTATGGTATCCCAAAGTAAGAAATTTATTTTTCAATTTCACATGGGGAATGGTGGTATACAGGGTTAAAAAATCAAAAGTTTTGATAGAATTAATTTCAGTAAAAGATCGAGCTTTAAAATTATCCAGACGTTCTTTTATTTAGTATTTTTTAGAATCCACATATAGTTAATATCACTACGCAAGTAAATATTAAGTATTTCTGAAGGCCCTCTTTCACTGCGGACAGATTTTTGTTAAATCTAATTGACAAGTCTTTCGTCGAACGTGCAGATGAGCCGGCAATGTACCGTTGTTTGTACGGAATTTTGTGAAGCTTAAGTATCCAATACAAACAAGGTAAGTCCTCCGATTTGCTGTTCAATGTAATGTTCATTGAAGCCATGAAGGACTTATGATTCGCCAAAATCTTATTCTTGTCAAATGATATGTTTTTGTATGTGGGATTACCTGAGTGCTCATTTATTCCTAATTCTGTTACAAGACACTCGTAGTAGTATGATTTACATACAAAGACAATATTATTTGAAGCTTTGTCCGCAGGAACAACAACATACTTATCGTGAAGAGATGATAGACATTTCACAGCCTCTTTGACTCTGAAAACTGACTTTGGTCGATCATTCACACAGTTTTTCAACTTATGAATGCGAAGTTTTATCAGAGACCTGATTGTTTTGACCCATTCTGACAAAGTGTACAGTTCAACTTCTTCTCGTTTAGCCCATGCTTTGGCGTAGTCCTCAATGGAATCCATTATTATTTTGAAGTTATGGTTTCAATTGATGTGTTTGGGTTCTCTAAACGTAGGACCATGATATATCACCTTTCGAAGATGTTCATGTTCAATTATGTTTAGATCCCCAGTAATAAAATGGCCAGAGGGGCTGTAAATATCAGGCGAGTGGGAACAGTCACATGTCAGAGGGTTTTTTAGGTATTGTTCTAAATCAAGGTCCTGCAATGCTTGTTTATAGTTAAATACTTTGGGTGCAATGGTTTTGGTGTAACTGTAGGATACAATAGGAACGGACTGATTTTGAAAATATAATATTGTTTTACCTTGTTTTAAAAACTAACTCTTTATATAGTAAAACAAGAATTCGTTAGTTTAATTGTATTAAAAGCTTCCAAAAGGAGAAAGCCTAGGGTGTCGCAGACATACCATCAAAAATGTGTTTCGCCTAACAGATGTTCCTCTGGAAACTTTGTTAAAACAAATATTGTGATATCTGTTCCTGTTGGAGCAAATATTCTAAACCATTTATTACGTCTGGAACAAATACTGTTATATTTCTTTCTGTAGAAGTAATATTAATATTTTAAATTATTTCTACCATTTGGAACAACTATTAAAAAGGAAATTCTGACTTTCTGAAAGAATTTTCTAGACATTCGAACTGACATATAGCAAACTATGACTTTGTTTTATCCATCGCCAAATACATATAACATCGAGCATTAGATAATACTTTAGTGCTTATTTGTTAGCCTGCAGAAAGAAATATTTTTGAGGTAAATAAAACAACGTTATATTTATTTTCAGTCAACTTGTTGTTGGACAAAGCAGTATTTACTAGGCTAGCTTTGAAAAACAATATTTTTCATTTTAATTTTTAGATCAAATGAAAAACGTCTTGAAATAAGAATTATTTAATCTAGTTTTCTTACGAGATGAAACAAAAATAACATCGAATATTGTTTAACATAATAAAAACAATAACATCGACCGTTGTTTTTTTTACACAATACCAATGGGAGACAATTGATGGGTCGAAGAAGTTCAGACAACGCCATGATAAAAAACATGAAAATACAAACTGTTTTCTTAGAATACAAACACGATTTAAAGAGTGATAATGAAAATTATACTCATGTGACGTTTACAGTAGAAACGATCAAAGAAGGTGTTTAAATGCATGACGAGAAAGACCTTTATTACGCTCTTGACTATATACATCAGTCAAATCCTTGATACAGTTGCGGAAGGTGAATTTTGTTTTCTTTTAAACGTTGATGATAACTTCGAAACTTATCATAAGGCAAAACGTCCCCTTCTTGAATAGGTTATCCTTCCACTGACCGAGTGAAAATGGAACCCTTCCGACCGAGTCCGGATTCAAAAAAGAAAAAAAACGTCATTATTTCGATAATTTATCACTAAGACTAACCATTCTTAGTTTTATTTTTGGTAAACTCTGAATATTTTACTTTCCATTGATCATTCACTGATTACTGTACGTTCTTTGGTTTAAAGAATATCATCCAGTATAGAATTGGATTCCCACTCGCCGGACATACACCTGGTTTTAAAAAGTGCTAATTTATTTTACTGTGAAAAAAAGCATGTCATTTGAGGTAAAATGTTTTACATATGGACACGTATGAATGAATTGAAATAAAAATAAGTAAGTGTCCTATTTTGATATTTTTTGAATTTTGATATTTCTTACCGTTGGTCTTGTATAAATCCAAAATTTGGTTGATTTAGAAGTAATAGCATTTATTTCTTACAGTTTTTATTTAAGAATTGAATGCTTCTTTTTGTAAATTCATTGGGGTGTAAAAGTGTTGACCGAAGTACATTTTGTATAAAGCGCGGAAGCGCTTCATTATTAAAATGTACGCACGGTCAACGCTTTTACAACCCTATGAAATTACTAAAAGAAGTATTCAATACTTATAATTACATTTTTTCGCTATGATCATGAAAACACGATTACCATCGGTTTTTTTTTTCTTTTATTTACCTCTGCACTTTATTGTGGAAACGTGTGTCATCGTGTATGTTACAATTCATGAAATTCATTTTGAAATGAAGAATGACGCGAGATTGCTGTTAGCCAATCAAAATAACGTATTATAATGAAACATACATCTAATGTAATTATTAGAGATTATGTATTGTTTGTTAAGAATCAATTATTTTGTTCCTCTATAGATTTCTAAAAATAGCTGAATGCAATATCTAAATTTAACAAAAATATGCACTCCAGAAAATGTCGGACTGAATGAGAAATTAGGAAAACGGACACATAAAATGCTTCTTATTTTTATCACCATGTGTTATATATCGGAATATTGATGTCTTACGTTAAGGATAACCGATATACTACCATAAAATTTAAAATCCTTCGACCAGTTGTTACAAACCATTATATTTTAGGCTCGAATATGTTGGTACTATAATTTTAGATTCTAGCATATGTAAGTTATTTTTAGGAAGCTCACTTATTAACCAATATTTTTCATTTTTATCAATAAAAACATATTTTCTTTAGACTTTGGCGATAGTATTGATGTATTTCTATATGAATTTATAACTTTTACCCACATCTATACTTATTCAATCACAAAAATACAAGATCTAAATGTTTCAAAAAATATCACTTCGGAATATTTCGGACTGAATGAGAAATTTTAAAAAAATGGACATATAGAAAGCTAACCATTTTTATCACTTTGTGACATATATGGAAATATTGATATTTTTTAATCAATGATCATCAATATCCTACCAAAAAATCTAAAACTCATCAATTTGATCAGTTGTAACAACCAGTTCTATTTTAAGAATCGGATATGTTCGTGCTATAATTTTAAGTTCTAACATTCGCAATTTTTTTCATAAGGCTTAGATATAAGAAGATGTGGTATGAGTGCCAATGAGACAACTCTCCATCCAAGTCACAATTAATTTATAAAAGTAAACCATTATAGGTCAAAGTACGGTCTTCAACAC